CCGGTGCCGGTGCCCGAGCCCGCGATGTGGGCCGGGCTGAACGCGCCATCTAGTGCCTGGCGGGGATGGGTTATTTAAAACAAGCTGGAAGGAACAGAAAGCCAGTGGAGTTTTTAATGAATTTCTGCATCAGCAGGGAAAATGGATGAAGGATGACAAATCCTTATATTGCCTTTTTTTTTTTTTCCCTAATTAACAGCCATTCCCAGGTAATTATTTGTTTTTTAAAATGCCATTGTTTCTATTGTCTGTTCTCCACTCTGCTCTCCGGCTACTTGCTAAGATAGATTGAAATCAGCCGCTGTGGCACAGTATTTGGGCAGGAAGTTAGTGCTGTATTCACAAAGCTTCAGAAGTCATTATAACATTAGTTTACTGCCTGCATCTGAACTTCTGATTCTCAAAAATTTGGTTCAAATGTCTAGAACTGCCTGATTTTCTTAGAATCATAGAATGATTTGGGTTGCAAGGGATCTTTAAATGCCATTTGGCCCAACCCCCCTGCAATGAGCAGGGACATCTTCAACTAGATCAGATTGCTCAGAGCCATGTCCAACCTGACCTTGAATGTTTGCAGGGATGGGGAGTCTACAACCTCTCTGAGCAATCTGTGTCAGTGTTTCACCACTCTCATTGTAAAAATCCTCTTCTTTAGATCTAGTCTGAATCTACCCTCTTTTAGCTTAAAACCATTAGCCATTGTTTTATGCCCTACAGAAAGTTTGTCCCTCTGTTTTCATAAGTTTTTATAAGTGCAGTAAGGTCTCCTATTCCTCCCTGCCCCATGGTCCACCTGTCCCATATGTAACTGCTGAGCCTCTCTCTTGGTTGTACATAAGTGGTGTGCAAATCGGATTTTGTGCAAAAAGTGGCTAATATGGGGGCACCAAACCCCTACTGGAGGCAGTTGAGATGGAATAACTTTATTTCAAAAACATGGAATACAGTAATTTTTGTTACCAATCAGGGAAGGAGATATTTGAGTCAACCAACACCTGCTAGCTGTATAGATGAAGAGAAGAAATGCACACTGAGGATCTTTGTTTTCTGTATGCAATGTTTACAAATCAAATTAAATATTGAAAGCAACATTTTGATGTTATTTTTCTCTGGAGACACCTGTGTCCAAGTCACTATTACTTTGAAAACCAACTGTCCATGTGGATCCCAGCTAATCAAGTACTTGTCGTTTTGATTTAAAAATAACTTGAGATTGTTGCCTTAAGGAAAGTATTATTATTTTTCTGTCCCTTTTTTTCCCTAGGATATTAAATACAACGTTGTTTGAACTGTATGAAGCTCTGGGCAATTTTCCTGCCTTGTGGGTCTTCAATGTGCTCCTTATGGTTCTTCAAATTCTGCACTGTTTTTGGTCCTACCTAATCATAAAGGCAGCCTACAAAGCTATTTCAAAGGGCAAGGTAAGACAACACGGTTCTGTTTCAGGAGTTTAAGTTTTTCATTATCAATAGAGGTCACTTTTTGTTTGGGTTAGGTTTATTTTTTTCTAATCCATAACATGCTACTGAAGACACATCTTGTTTTTAATAAACTCTTCTTTCCTTTCCTGGAAACTTCTTCCCCTTCCTAATGATTGTCAGATAATTTAATAATAATCTGTGTAGTGATTGTCTTTATATGTGCTTCTGCACTTCTTTTTTACAACGTGATATACTGAACTAAACTAAATTAGGGAAATCAGATGAAAGAAACCGAACAAGTAAACTACTTTCTTGGGGCTGCCAGTTCTGGTTTTTCTTCTTTATAATAGTTGTTAGCAAAATGTTCGTTTCACAGCTGGAAGTGATAGCAATAATAATACAAAATGAAATTCTGCTGCATTTTCTAGTGGCAAAGTTACAGATCACAGCCTCTTCTGGGTTTTGGTATTAATGAGGTATTGCAAAGAGCTATTTCTAGTATTCCCAGAGCAAGACTGTTTGGGATAGAATTTACTGTCTTGCTGCCAATGGCACGTTTGACAGGAAGATGCCACTCCCAGAAATACCAACCCCATTACAGTTGCTGTGCAGACACAGGGCTTATGTGCAGATGGTAGAACTAATCCTTACAGATCATGTAAAGTCAGGACACTTTGCCCTTAAAGAGCAGAGTGCATTGGTGTGACTGACCCCAAAGTGAACGGGGATTGTTCTCCAGAAAATTGCTTTCTATGAATGTACTGGAGAGCTCAGCCATGCACTGGCAGAGCCCAGAATCTGCCACTCAATCTGTGAAAGACAGTGTGCTCATGAGCTGTATTTTGCTTGGAAGCCATGCTTTAGTCTCCTCTGCTTTTAGCAATTTTTAGCCTCACCTGTCCTGTCTGAATTATACCTTCAAAGTGACTTCAAAGACTGCTTCCTACTCTCTCTTACTCCACTTGTTTATCCTTTCCCTTGTGCTGTGCTGGAAGACTGGGAAATGGAACCCCTTGCACGTAAGTTTCTTTAAATTTATTATGCAAAAGATTTATTCTGACAACACTGGTGTTTGTAGTTTGGGTTGGTTTGGTTCTGCTTGGTATTTATCCATTGTTTGTATTTATATATTTAAGTAAAGACTATGTTTTTACTTCTTGGCTATGCATCACCTAAAACCATTCAAACCCACTTCTATCTGTAGTATCTGGGTGCTATTATGTTGTACCTTTTTTACATACAGAGATAGATAGATAGATAGATAGATAGATAGATAGATAGATAGATAGATAGATAGATAGATGTGTGTATGTGTGTGTACACACATACTTTTATATATATCTCAGCAGGATAAGCATCTGCTCTGTCAGCATTCAGGACACACGCTTGAGACTGTAAATCTTTCACCTTGTAGTTCTAACAATTGCACAGGAAAAAATTGAGATTGTACAGAGTTAGAGCAGAGTTAGACTCTTGCAGTAACACAGTGACCAGGTTAGAGATGAATATGTATGACATATATACAGAGGATTCATCTTCCTTCAGATCTTAACTTACTTCCTCACTTGCAGTGCCATTCTATTTCTGCAATAAAAATAAGAACTATTTCCACAACACATTACAGATATCCTACAGATAAGTACTAGCTACTGCAAGATGTGTTGCATTCATATCAGGTTATAGGTGCAAAGACCCTGCTTTGTAGCTGCATTTTAAAAATAAGGAAAGCAGATCCCATGTTTAGCAGAACTGGCTACAGCATAGAATCTTATTTTGATTTTTGTCTTTGGGGCAGGACCCTAGCAGAAGAATTGGTAGTGAATCTATTGAAAGAAATTAAGTTGATGCAGAATTGTTGAGTCATCTGTCTGCCATCACATAGATCACAGGTGCTCAGTACTGTGTGCTGAGACCATTCTCTTCTGTCTGATAAGGGCATAATTCTAAGTGTATTTCTGTACCCCCACCAGGTGCAATGTAAAAGTCCCTTTATATGAAAGACACTGAAGTAACTTATTAATTGAAGCTCTGTAAATTATAGGACCAAATTTCTGACCTCAGCTGAAGTCCAGTTTCACAGGAGTCAGAACTGTGGGCTTGTTGGACATTCACATTAGAAACTTTACTTATTGGGACCGATGTGGGAAGAGTTTTCTTTTTTTGCTAGTTCCAAGCAGAATAGTGTCACTCAGGTACGGTGACATAGCAAGAGCAACACTGGGAGCACCAAAGGCAAATGGCTCTTTCTGAGATGAGAGTGGAATTGTCATGAAGACTTTCCAGAGGAGAGGAAGGTTGCTGCAAGCAAAAAATTACACACAGTAGCCCTGTTCTTTAAGTGTTTTTAGTTCTTCAGGAAAAAGGCTCACCATGCATTTTGCCCCCTTTTATGTCCATTTGCTGTAGTAAAGTCAGCTGTAATTGCCCACTTGTGACAACTAACACAGCATGGATCGATCGTGAAGAAATTGGGACGCTCAGTTATACAAACAGGAGTAGAAGCAGGCATGAAAATGGCATCCTTACAGCTGCATGCAGGCTACACTTCAGACCTCTTTCTGTTGATGCTGGTTTTTTGTACTACATCTGGTGGATTCTTGCTAGCTTTGGAGATTTTCAAGGTTTTTCAAAGAAGTCAGCTGAAAATTAGCAGGAAATCCCTAGCAACTAAGGTCCATCTGTTTCTGAAACACCTTTCCAGTGACACAATGGGGCACACAGTTGAACTGTGACTTCTATGTTAGGGACTGAACTGGACTATGTCCACATTTTGCAAGTGCCATTCTCACCACTTGTCTGAAGTCAGAGACTGGAGTTACCTGGTGTGGTGAGTTTTACTTCAAGCAATATTTGAAGGTGTCTCCTCCTGCAAGCACACAGCACTGTTCCCTGGAGCCGTGTGGTCTCCAGTGAGTTGGGAGATAAGGAAGCTGAGTAGAACGTTTTGTATTACCGGGTCAAAGAGTAGCACTCCAAATGAAGGACAGGAAATAAAGTTGTAATTAGTAGGAGGGCAGAGGTACTGAGCCTAGGTTGAATTTGGGACCTTGGATTGTTTGTTGCAATAACTGTTGTCTTCAGTTATTGCAAAACCCTTTGCCTTGAGCACTTGTCCATACTACCTTTAGTGCACCAGTGCTGAGCTCTCACCCTGCCTTGCACATGGCATATGTATGTGCAGACATCTGTGTTTGAAGTGAGTGCAGGCAGGCAAAGGTAGAGAAATGTGCCAGAGCTGAGATTGCCTCAAAGCTCAAATTGAAAAGATGTGTGAATTCTCTGATTCTCTTGAACCAAAAAGCTGAGTTGTTTCCTTACAGTCACCTACTGCCTACTTCTTTTCCACATTCTGCAGGTAGCAAAGGATTCCCGAAGTGATGTTGAGTCAAGCTCAGATGAGGAAGAAACAGTACCTCGCTCAAAGGCCCCGCACAGCACTGTCACCACGAATGGGACCAGCGGTGCCAATGGGACAAATGGGTATCTCACTGCTGCCACTTCCTCAGAGGAACATTAATCCTTCAGTTCAATCATGAGACACGAACAGAATGAACTGTTTGCTACTGGAAGTAAATTATAAGTTGTGAATGCGGTTTATTCATGTATTTCAGCATCAGAAAAAATTAGGAGTATCAAAGCATTCTGATAGTGCACTGCCATATTTCCTGTTTGTGAATGAAGACAGCACACCATTCTGTATACGTAGGCATGCTGTATGTGTATGTAACTGACACAATGGGAGCAGTATTTTCACTTGTACTGTCTGAAATATTATTTATATTTTATTCTTTTGGGAACTTCTGGACAAAAGGGAATATCCATTCTCAAACTTTGTGTCTTGGATTCTCAGTAATGGAGAGCATCATGCTCAGATCTCTTCTGTCCATCCCTGTTGCTTTTGCTGAATCTGCTATAAGTAATAGTTGCTTGATTTGTTACTTACAGTAAGATAGAACATAGCTTTATAGATTTTTGATCTGCTTCAGATATTTTTGCTATCTTTGTGTTTTAAAGTACTGGTTTTGAAATTGCTTATCAAATCACAGTTACTGTTCCTCCAAAATAATTTGGGAAAAATGTGGTAATTGTGGGATATTATTTTAGCGTAATTTTAAATTCAATTTGGTGGTTAATTGCATTAGAAGTAGACTTAATTTGTTGTGCAAATACCCAAAAGCATTGTTGTCAGCACTTAGGATAAATTCATTCTTTTTTTTGGCCTTTCAATTTTTGACCTCTACAGATTTTAGTTTTTCGCAGAGATGCCATGTAAAAAGGTGTTTCTTCAAATACACCATTCTGAATCCAGACTTAACTCCCAAAATTGTTCTTGCATGTTCACCTGATTGAGAGGAGGGATGTAATGGAAAAAACAGCAGATGTAAAGTTCATTTCTTCCTCAGACACAGGTCAGTCTAGGTATTTTTCTCAAAATTATTGCCACTTCCTTGGTAGGGTGAAAAGAGAGAAGGCAGAAGGTCATACATTACTAGAATTAGTTTATTTTAAATGTGCAAAAACTTGAGCAAAATTCACTTCACATAATTCACAGTAACCTTTGAATGCTCAGCAGTATTTCATCACCTCTACAAATAAAATTACGAGGTGTCTGTAAAATAATTTTGCATTCCTTTTTCATCCAAGATTTACAAATAGTGTCCCAAAGAAGACAAAGTAACACCCTAAGTAAACATCTTTTTAAGCATTATATGCATACATCTTTCAGGCTCTCAATCAAAGTTTGATGTAGGATGCTAAGGATCATACAGCTCTTGTAGGACACTCTTCTGTGATTTGTAACAGCAGTGCCAAAAGTTGGCAGGGTTCTTGGGTAACAGACTCTATGCAACCTACTATTCAACAGTATTGTGTGTGTGCACACAGAACCAATGTGCTTATAAACCAAAGACTTAAATATATATACATATATAATATGTGTGTGTGTGTATGTATATATACACATATACATACATATAAATACACACACATACATACATACATACATACATATATATATCAGTTACAAAAATAAAGGAAGGAACAAACCAGGAAAAAAAATCTTAAGAATGTCTTTTATATACGAAGGGATTGGAGTGTTGTGTTCAGCTGGAAACTTGAGCCATGAGGTCATTTCTGATTCCTTCCACCTATGCAAACAGAAAAATATAGTTTCTGATGCCATAAAATATGTTTAAAGTCCATTTTATAAAGACTTCATTGAAGAAAGTTGTGTTGTCACTTCTTTCTTTTGAAAACTGAGATTTGTCCTATTCTACTGGTTACTCTTGAAAACTTCTGAAACTTCTATTACCTATAGAAACTCCTGTGTGTTAGGAAAAAGGAGGTCTGTGTGTTAAGAAAAAGGAAGTGTACTAAAAGCAAGGTTGGAATGGTATCAATGGAAATAGTACCTCAACTTAGTAAAGAGTAAAGGCAAGAAAACTCAGAAATTGTAAATCACAAAAGATCTGTGAGTTCTACTACGCACAGAACATCTTTTCAAAAAGTCAGATAACCTTGTAATCCAGCAGCTGCATAGCTTATATGTCTATGAGTATATCTGAGGGGGCAAGGGAGCCTTACTTAAATCTCCTTCTCCCCAGAAAGTTTCTCTGCCTCTAATTTTTTTCATCTGTCTCCTGTGCATTTGATTTCATACAATTATCTGCAGGGCAGCTTATACATGTGAAAAAACACTGATTGCAATAGAAAGTATCCTATCCATGGTGTTTGCAGCTGCGTAGTAATTACTGTAAAGATGATATCAGGATTTAAAATAAAAACATCCTGGGATATATTAAATTAAGATAATAATTTGTGAAATCTGACCTGCTAAAATGGTAATGGAGAGTATCAATTTAAATACACCTCTTTCATGGTGTTGATTACTGCCTCCACTGAACCATTTCCCTTCTGAAAAGATGATTACAAAAATGGCATTCTGGCAAAATATTTTATCTTACATGAGAACAGTGTTGCTCTGAACTGTCAACATGCACAACATAGACCACATGCTTCAATGCTGGTGATACCAGGGCATAGAGAAGTCCCCAACAACAATCCCTGTGCCAGAGGCCTTTAGTCCCCGTTGGTCCTCTTCAGCAATGCTCTGTAATGTTCATTCACATGTAGGGTCAAGGCAACAACCCTTGGCATGACTTACCATCATTACATATGCTGTTAGGGTATCATAGAATCAGAATGTTAACGGTTGGAAGGCACTTAGAAGATCCTCTAGTCCCAACCTCCCTGCCATGAGCAGGGACACTTCACACTAGACCAGGTTGCTCAAGACCTTACCCAACCTGGTCTTGAACACTGCCAGGGTTGGGGCATCCACAGCTTCTCTGGACAAGTTGTTCAGTATCTTACCACCCCTGAAGTAAAGAATTTCTTTCTAATGGCTAACTTAAACTTTTCTCCTCTTTGCTCCAATCCTCTTATCAATTTCATGGCCTTTCTCCTGATGTGCTCCAGCAGTTCCATGTCCTTCTGATGCTGGGGACACCAGACCTGGCTGCAGTAATCTGGGTGGAGTCTCATGAGAGCAGAGGGATGGAATCCCCTTCCCTGCCCTGCTGCCCACACTCCTGTGGATGCAGCCCAGAATACATTTGGCTTTCTAGGCTCTGATGGCTCACGTTGAGTTTTTCATCAACCATTATCCCCAGGTCTCTCCACAGGGTTGCTCTCAATCCCTTTTTCACCCAACCTGTAGGAGTGCCTGGGACTGGTACAACCCAGTAGGACTTTCCACCTGGCTTGCTTGAACTTCATGAGGTTTCCATCAGCCCCCCTCTCAAGTCTGTCAAGGTCCCTCGATTCCTACTGTTAAAAGGTTCATCTGGGATTGAAACTCTTCCTTTGAGGTTTAAATTCAGTCATATCTATGATATGTTAAAGCATGTATGCAGTTACCTTGGTTCAGCTAACACCCAATGACATACTTATTCCTTATAATCCTGGCTTTATGAAGTCTGTTCTTTGCAGTCTAGGATAAACTTCGTACAGATATGGCTGGAAAATGAGGTAAGAGATTCAAATGACAAGTTTGGGGAAATAGGCTAAGAGGAAGCCTTAAGAACTTCACCACTTTGCTATAACAATGACTGATCTTTCAAGCTAGAAGTTTATCATAAAAATTATTAATTCACACTTTTTTCTGTCTCTAGTGGGAAGGACCAAGTGATTCAGTGATCAGACATGGCAGTGTGCTTTAATTCATCATTTTAACTAATGGGAGAAAAAATTTTGGCTTCATCTTACATTCTGCAGAGAAAATGTCATGCAATTGTTTCCTTTTTCATTTGAATTTGTTTGCTTTTCTGATGAAGAGCTTTGCAAGGTGCATTTGGAGGTCATCAAGTATTTAGAGGTTAATTACACATACTTAGACTATTAACTGAAATTATTCGCATGGTTCATGGTAAATGTGAGATCTTAAAAGGTTCTGTATATTCACACCTTTCGTAGAATTGTCATTTAGTAATTCTAGAAATAAGAGTTTGTACTCTATAACCTCTCTGTCTTTGAGTTCTATGCTCTTTGTTTATAGTACAGTACATGACACAGTGGTTGAGATGTCGAAGTAGAAAAATGAGGAAATTAGAGTTTATTAGTAAATAGTAAGAATTTGTCTTCTCTCTTAGACAGCCCAGATTATGGTAAAATAAGATTCAGGTTACTCTTTATGTACTGTTTCCCATACTGGCATATTTTGTATCAAAAGAAAAATGGTGGGCTGGTGGTTTTGTTTGGTTGTTTTTCATAAAGAACAACATTGCAGAAAATGGTAAAAATACCTGATCAAACAACAAGGGTGGACATTGGAGTCTTTTGGGTTTTGATCAATGTTAAGTAGTGCTAGTTTTAAAATACCAAAGTGCCCCATGCTGTTTCCTTGTTGCCCTTTTGTAGTTTTTTCTATCTGTTATTTAATGATTCCAACAGAATTGGTACAGGTGTCACAGCTTCGTATCTCCTGCCTCAGCCTGTGACCATTCTGTGACCATGTGATTGCCAATGCCAAATGCTTTTTCTGAGACCCAAGTACATGCACTAAAGCTTTGCTTACAGTTAAGTGATTCTTGTCTTAAATCTGTATCTGATTCAGGTGAAAATCACTTTCTGGTTCTGAATAGGACATAAGGGTGAAAGCTGTGACCCTGCAGCACATGTCACTGATGATCAAATGCTGGTTGATTGAGACACTGTGTTTTACACAGAGTGCTCTAGTAGGAAGCCTAATGCCCATTTCATTCATTTTCTCATTATCACAGCCTTCTGTATCTCAGAGGAATATGGGCTACCCATTGGTTTTATACAGCTGATGCTTTGGTATTTTTTTAATCTCTTTGCTACAACTCATTTTTGTATGTCTCCTATTGTCTACTTCCTGTGACATTTGTGGGAGAGGAGTATTAAATACTTTTTACCCTTCCTGTAATGTAGACCCTTTTAGGCCTAACTTCAATGTTCTGCAAACTACAGTTGCCTTTAAACCATGAAGCAAAACCAGTTTGTATTACTTGTTTTGACTGGTTTTGATTTGGAACAGAGACCTAATGGGAACTTCAGTAAGACAATGTTATTCTTTTTTCTCTGTTCTTTTAAATCTTTTTTCTCTGTTCTTTTAAAAAGCTCTAGTGGAGGTTTGGAAAGGTGGTGTACATGTCTAGCCTTTAAACTGTAAAGATTTCTGATTGTAGTTGCAATGAAAACACAGTGTTTGAGTGTGTCTCTATAGAATTCTCAATCTTTGAAATTTCTTTCAATCAAAAAACTGGAGGAAATACCGTGAAGGATGTTTTGGGAGTCGTGTCAATGATTACACATGACAGACAAAAGGCAAAAAATATTGTCTTACATGACTTTAAATGGGTGCAACAAAACACATTTTCTAGCTTCTGCTGAGCTTCAGCTTTTTTCTGTTCTGGGGTTTAACTTTACACAAGCTCTCATACCATACTGTGCATGTTGACTGCTGCAAGTCAGGGTGAGGCAGATGACACATTTTCACCTGTGTTTTCATGACAATCCTGGGCTTGAGCAACTCTTTCAGAAGTGCAGTGATGTGTAGGAACTCCACTGTTCTGGATACAGTGATGCACTAGCTAGAAGTCCTTTCATGTATAGCTATCGTGTGGAACTTTGGGAGTTATTTTGTCTTTTATTTGACTGGGTTTGGGGTTTTTTCTAATACGGAGAATAATTATTCCTCATAAAATCTCTGGAACCAACCAGTATTGTGGGCTATTTTAATTTGGAGACACTTTCATAATAAACATAAGTATTAGAAATGTAGTTTTTGTTTTCTTATTTTTTTCTATGAGATGCAGACAATGTTTTCCATTGTTTTTAGCTCAAAGATTGTTATCCCCACTGTAGACTCCAGCACTCTCTAGACATGGCCTTGCTGTGTTCATCACTGCAGTATTTTATGTTATTTCTTGTATGAAACTCTTTGTAACACGAAGTGTTGGAAGGACAA